CTCCAGATATTCCTTCTTAAACACGCAATTTCTTTGAAAAGGCTTCCCCAAACTGATGTTCTTTCTTCTAATTTCGTTCTTTCATAAACATATGTTTTCAATGTTGACACAAGGATGTGCAGTTTTTTTCCACAGTCACAATTCCATAATTTTTTTTTATTCTTATCAAATTCTTTTAGAACTTTAGTTCTATCTTTCAGGAAGACTGCTATTCATTTTCTATGCATTTTAACTTCCATATTAAGCTTATACTTTAAAATTAAGCTTAAAGTAAAGGAGGACAAAAATGAAGTTAAAACGGGCTTACCAAATGGCAGAAGAAATTTCTAAGAAATTTTTGTCAACAGAATCCAGCGTTTATCATATCTCACTTAGTGATCTGATATTGACATCGGGTGTAAATTTTCTAAATCTCATAGTTTTGAAACTTTTGAAGACCAATAAAGAACAAATTAAACAGCATATGTTTTAAATTATGTGTAATATTAGGAGGAAAACTAGCTATTTGAAACATTCTCTGTAAGAGGGTTAATATAAACTTTATATTTCATATATTTTTACTAAAAGACGAGATTTGATCAAAGCCCGCAGACCCTTAATCTTAATTTATACTATGAAATACTTAGTTTGAAACAAAATACAAAATTTTACAAAAAACTTAGTTTGAAACTACGTGCTACGATATTGGTGTATCGTGCACAAGATTTTCGTTTTTAAGGAAAAAAGAGAATAATAAATCCAATGCAAAAACCTATATTAGAAGAATGCAATACTTAAATGTAATATATATCTCCCAAGCTGCGCTTTCGAAACATGAAAACGCAAGTTGAATTTCGTCAATCGGCTTGCTATCATAGAACGGAAGATATTGAACTCTTTTTTTTATTAGTTTACGTGGAGAATAAAATTTTATGCTGAATCAGGATTCATCTTTGAAGGGAATGGTTCCCCACCGATGTTTAGTGATGATGAGAATGTTCCCAAACTGACCTTCGAAAGCACATTTCTATGAAATGGATGTAGAGTGATGCCACTTACGTTTATATTACCTAACTTACCCTGCTTTTAGAACAATTCAGTGTTCTGTACATCATGTTGAACGGGCTTCTTTGCGGGCAGAAGTGCATGGGTTGCAAATAACAGGTATTTTTGTAAACAGAATCTTCTGGAAAATAATAACTCTTAAAATTTGGTTTCCTGGGGCCGAATGAAAATAACAAGGGTGTTGAAAAGCTATTGTTTTTTAGTTCCGCCTTACTATCGCCCACAAGTAGCTGATCTGTAAAATCAATTAACACTAGTAGTTCCGATTTGGGGTTCGATTCCAGACGAATGGGCTGGCTACAGGGGCGTCTTTCCCTTGTGTAATGTGCATACAGGCCAGTTTTCCTTAGAAGATCCTCCAAAAAGGCATCCATCTCCTAAGGCATATTGCCGTAGTGTGCTTTGCCATAATCAACTAAACGAAACATAAAACTCTTTATCTTCATTGGCCGTCGTGGCTCTTGGACAACCTTGATAGGACTTCCTTTCTTCAAATCCGTTACCCTGAAACTGTTTCCTAAGTTATACACAACTATGGGCATTGCATTCAAGTCCCTAGCAATCTGAATTCAGACTTAACCTGTTTCCAGTCTCCCGACGGTTTTCTGCTTCATTACATTATCAAGGAAATAATGGATTATGTGATGACAATTTTTAAGAAACTCTGCATGAGTAATTTAGGTAAATAGCTGTTAATAATGTATAAAAAGCAATTTGTAAATGTACCTAAAAGTAAGTCATGTTAATATTGCGGCAGAAAGATCTATTTGATTATTTAATTAATGTTTTATGAAGAGAGCAGCTTTGATTAAAAAAATTCATGGTCAAGTAAAGATCTTACATAATTTTCTATTATTTAAGTATGTTCAAGCTTCTCTCACCATACATTCTATAACACAGTTCACCTACTTACTATTTCGAATAGTATTTCATTCTTACATTTCGTTTATTTTTTATGTTCTATTTTAAACGCGCAAATTTTAGTAGAACCCTTTATTGACTTATGTGATATATATGTGGAGCTTGCTGGTTGCCTTGCTTTATAAGTTCGTTCATCCTCATTCAATGCCGATCCGGAACTTTTAGAAAAATTGCACAAGTATATACTATGCTTAGCTCCGAAATTTCTTTTTAGCTTTATTGTTTTTTAATGTAATTTTTCTTTACATCTTTCAAAAGAAGTTAACAAGGAAATTGCTTCACTCTGAAAGAAATTATTTAGAATTTATTTCTGCTGAAGTATTTTGCTTCCTAATAAGCTCCACAGCTCATGATCTGGCAATTACAAAACAAAATTTAAGTCAAGTTTTCGTATTTAGACGCCTGTGCACACTTAACGATAAGCTTGCATTTAGTTATTTTCAGGTGCATGTATGTTATGTTTAGACAGGCGGCTGCAATAATAAAGTACCGCAGCATTGAGGAGTTTCAGAAAGTTTCAGCGGTTAAAGGTCTGTGTGACGTAAACCCAACGATTGTGCTTTACATCTCCTTATCGGCGCATTTTTTCAGCTTTCGCCATTGGCTTCTCTGATAGCTTGTTCAAACTGCGTAGATTATTTTGTTCTTATTTTTTTAGGACAAAATTCTTTAGAAAGGAATGGCAACGGATTTCCTTTCGACGACGTTAGACTTTTCTGAGCTCCGATTAAGACTACTGCCTAGGATATATTCGAAGACAAGGTAAGCAAACTGACCTTCGAAAAGTAACCTTTCTCTGTTACGGATGTAGAGTGATGCCACTTACGGTTTTATTATCTAACTTACCCTGCGTTTAGAACAAGTATGTTTCCTAATAAATCACATATAATGTAAATGTGCATCAAGGTCTGATTTTTACGGACTTCCTTCATATAAAATTAACTTTCAAAACTTTAGCTTTGATTAAGAGGACGTGCTTCTACATAAAATTAAAGTTTTGTTCGCAACTGAAAATGTTTAGATCTCAAAATTTTTCCGTGTGAAATTTATAATGTATCTGAATTTGTTATAACATTTATAATTTTAATTGAAATTCTGACAGTTTCAGAAATCTTGAAGGAATTTATATTTAAAATTAATTTTAATCTACGATTATGATAAAATAGAAAATATGCATCATAATTAAATATTATAGCAAACGAAAACAAAATCTGTGTAATGTAGAGGACGTATTCTTTAACGTGAAATTATTTAGACTGTTATCATAATTAGCCAAAGCGAACCTATGGGAATTTTTATTAATACCACTGCTATTAATAATGAAAATAAATATTCCTTTGTATAAAGTTATCCAGATTATTTACATAATAAACCAGATCCAATTTGGGGAATTTTTGTTAAAATCATTGAGACCATGAAGAAATTTACATTCTGTAAAAATGTGTTCATAATTACACTGAAATATTTCTAGAACGCATGTTTACGCTTTTTAGTTTTTCTTAAATCTAAATCTTGCACTTACCGCAGAGAATCCGAGAAATTATGTCTTTGAAAATTCACTCTTGCTAGGCGGTATACAAACAGTCATCCTGTAATCGAATGTATATAATAGAAACATTTATTATTAATTACACTATTATTCTAAGCAAGTGTTTATAAAAATTATCAAGTAGATGCAATGTACATAACACCGATTTTATGTATTATTAAAAATAAACATTAAAAAGTATAACATTGTTTACAAATCTTTCAACAAGAGCGGATTGGGATTTTTCCGCACCCTAGGCTAAAATTGTTTTAACTTTCTAAACTATTGTTATTTTCCACTTTATTTATTTATTAGTAAAATTAAATATGTATGTATTTAAATGGTTTATAGTGTAAAATTACAAAGAATGCCAAAAGATTATGCAGAAAACGAAAGTACGAAAATGTAAAATATACACGAGTGAGGGTTGAGTGTCCAGATTATTTTTTGTTAATTATTGTACATGTTATTAATTATGCAAAACAATCCAGTCATAAATGATAAAATGTAGATTAATGTGGTTAACACCCGGGACAATGTCTGAGACAAATTAAAATCGCAGTTAATCCGACAGCAATTAAAAAAAAGAGAGAAAAGAGGAACAACGAATGTATGGTAAAGAGAAAAGTGCTCTTAATTTACCTTTATTTTAAGCGTTTACACTTTGGAATCGAGAAATATTTTTATTTATATTCCTTTTCTACTTCGGTAGGAGTCAATAAGAAACATAAGATTCATATCTGTGTAATTAATTTATTACTGTGATTTAGAGATTTATTTTTAATGGTTAATTTAATAATGTTTTTATATTCCATGTCATTTAAATTATATAGTGTTTTGTTTAAAAACAGTTCCAAATTGCTCTGGCACCAGATGGTATCATTTCACACATTTTCATCTCTTTCTAGTATTTTCCGAAGAAATTTTGCTCTTTTCTGATGGTCCGTAATAGTAAATGTTTTATCGCTTCTGAATAATGTTTTTGATAAGGCCTTATTAATCCTCGCTCTTTAATCTACTCCCAATTAAATGGCCGTACTTGTTTACTTTTTATAACTTTGCATTTTATTTTTCCTTCGACAAATTTTTTAATTATGCTATCAAAAATATAATTGAGTACGTCACTATCTGTCGTTAAAATTGCTAAATCTTCCCCTCATATAATATTACATACATATTAAATAATTTTTTGCTCAATGAAAACAAGAAAACGACTTTTTATACACACAGTTTATAAAAGTGAATGAGCTTTAATGATTGAACAAATATGATAAATGAAATCGTTATTTCACATTCCCCAAGTGCATAAATTGGCTACAGGTTTATTTGTTTTTTCACCTTGATTTAAATGAATGATTATGTATTAACTATGTGGAACACTCGCTTCTTCAATTTTCATATTCTGTACTGTGTTCCGAAGCTAGATTACACACATTTTGTTTCATTTTATGTTTGGGGCATTAAGTAATGTTCAAAATATTATTCTTTTCTGTTATTTATTCTATAGTCAAAGATAACTGCTGTCATACAAGTAGTGACAAGGGTGGGATTGAAGGATTCGGATGTGAAAAACGGGAAAAGGTTTCATTGCAGACACGAAGTAAATTAACTTTCCTTTCATTCTAATGGGCAAGAATATTTGATTTCAATTAATCATGTCTACTATTTTTAAGATCGTTGAAGATGTTATAAACAATTCTTGAGATTTGTATGTCGAATAAATCAGTTAATTTCTTCAGAAGCTAATTGTGTATTTATGAAAATAAAAAATGTCTAGCTGCGTTTTCTAGACATTTGTTAAATTCAAATTTTAGCACTTGCGAGCATGTGTCGTAACAGAAACCGTCAAGAGAAAAACATTTCTGGAATTAGGATTGTATTAAAATGATATTTTCTTTTCGAAGGCATCCGGAATTTCTTACAAATTTCAATTTTATAAATGAATGCAAGATAGTGGTAAAACCTTAAATGATTATATTGCCAAATTTCATAACTTAGCAGAAGTGTGTAAGGAAACTAAAATATCAAAGCCAGAAAACATGAAAAGTTAACTATGCACTCACCGGTATTCCAACTATGGATCATCGAACTGTTAGCTTGACCTGCTAACCACTTACACTGCAAAACACACACATAAGAATGTTATAATTACTTACATCCTTCTGTACTTAGTGCGATTTGGGAGAATTTCGTGATCCAGTCGAATAAATCCAGATGTTGAGAAATTACCATACATCAAATTTAAGTTGTAGATAATTGTAGAGACTATTGAGTTATTCGGAGACAGAAAACATGAAAAATCCATTGTGCCTTTGCTGGTATTAGAACCAATTAATCAAGGAGCTTCCATTTGTTAGCTCATTTACACCACGAAAGCAAGAAATAGAAGAAGTTCTTTAAGGATTTAATCTTGGAATTTCATTAAACGATAATTTACCAGAACATTTGTGAAGTATTAAATGAATCGATTTAAAGACTTTCGAAATCAAAACTGAAATTAGAGGATGCGGTAACAAAGGCTTATTCTTTTTATAGAAGTTATAGTAAATCAATCAAAGAATATATTATTTATTTAATATATTTATTTAGAGATTAATTCACGCCTTTTTGAAAAAAATATTAATATTCAACTGATTATATAAACAGTAAAAATTATTTTAAGCTAACAAAAAATTCTTCTTCCAAAATAGAAAATAAGGTATACCATAATTCCGGTGGTGAGCACGTAAGGATTGTAAATTTCGTAATGTCATAAGTATAAACGAAAAGATCACATGTCATAGTTTGTTTTTCAGAATAAACGCTGATAAAACAATCTGTTTATTCATCACAATACGTCTACGATACGTCTGCAAATATCAAGAGGGCTAAACCTCTGGCCGTAAAGGCAACCAGCAACCGAGTGAAAACTCGTAAAAACTTACAGTGGCAAGCCGCTTGCTTCCTATAACTCTTTCTCTCTCTCGCTTGGCAAAAAGCCACAACTTAAGTACTTGGGCGTTAGCAAGACAATTTGCATAAACAAGTTAAAGCATTTAATTCTGACCGGAAGTAGAAAATAAGAAGTGATAGTACAGTTTTAAAATAAAATAAACGTTAGTAAAACTTAGGATCCTTACAAAGTCTTCATACATATATGCCAGTATTGCTATATGATTCTACATATAGTTTTATTAATTGTTTTGTAATTAGTACTAATATTTACAAAATTACAGCTCAGACTAGCGATTAAAAATAACAGACATGTACTTGAATGCCTAGTATCTGTTATGGTCGACTGACTGCTTTACACTAAATAAAGAAATAAGAAAAGCACGCCAAAGTTAAACATAAAATTAAGGCACAGCAATAATGTTGCTTTAGCTGTAGATTTTAATTAAAAGAGCGTTTTCGAGGGCGAACAGGTACAGGTCCCTTGTCATCAGGAGAACCCACTGTGCCAAACATAAAGTTGTTACTGTGCCTAATTTTAAGCTTAACAGTAGTCTCTGCTATTTATATATGAAGAGTCTGTGTATATATGTATGTGTCTCTCGCATTATGGAAAAAACGATGGCAGCTACAGCCACCAAATTCTGAGCATACGTAGCCCTTCACCCAAATTCTAATTTCCATTTTTAAAAAAATATTTCATATTTTGTGCGAATTTCATCAGTTTCTGAGTAAAACACTCAGTAGTTTAAAGCAATAAACACAGTGCTTAATAATATTTTTCAACTTGATTGTTGTAAATAAAATTACATTTAAACTTCTTGCCTAATTATATTTGTAATAATAGCTCTATGTGAAAAGTTTTCAGTAATCAATATGTCATGTCTTAATTTGTTTCCTGATTCTTGAGAAAGATTCGCAGAGCTTCGTTGCATAGATAGAAAGGAAAAACGAACGCATCACTGTGGAACAAAACTGATAGATTTTTTTAAGAGCCACTGTCTATAGACAGTTAATCAATCAAAATGTTAAATCAATAACCAAATCAATCAAAATGTTAAATCAATAACCAATCTAGAAAAATATACAGAATAAAGTATATGATTTTTACAGAAAGACCATTGTGCTTACTGTTGTTTCCTTCTTCATTTGCTTATTTTTTGCAGTGAATTGCAGTATAAAAAGATCTAACTGCTTAACAAAGTAAAAGAATGCTTTTCAATATGGCTAACAAATATTAAAATGCCAAAACAAGTTATATTCATAATATTTTCATATATTGTGTGCAGTGATTACAAAGATTTCTTCGGATATTTATGTGTTAGTTTGGGAAATTTGTTTTCTGTTTGCAGGCATGACGGAGAAACGGATCTCTGGTTGGTTCGTACTATCAGCAATCTTCATCATAGCCGTCTTCGGCCTCTTCTTCACGTTCACGGAACGTAAGACATGGCCGGAACAAAAGACAGAATTGTCGGCGACAGATATGAAGCTAATTCCTCCTTCTTCCACCCTCTGGTGCGAGGCTATTGCACTCTACTCGGACCATCCCTTTGTTGCTTACCAGGTAAATACTTTCCGAATCACTAGAGTAGAAGAAGAAAGCTTTCAGGATAAAAATCAAATATTTCTTTTACCTATTTGATGTAAATAAAATATAATAATAGTAATTTAGAAAAAGTTTTCCTGTCCAGTTCTTCCAAATTTTATTAATTAATTAATCAAATATTTGATTACCGAACAAAATTTAATTGAGATAGAACATCTTTTACGTAAATTAATGGAGGCAGAACCATTTCGAATAATTCATTAATGTAACACATGGTCAGAGTTTTTTTACAAAGTATTCTTTAAAAAGAAAAATGTCCCATTTTTGAAAGATTTTCGGCAACAGCGGTAGAACAAAAAATTTTCAGCGTAGCGGTTAGTTTTTAGTATATGTTTCATAAAATGAACTTGAGAATTTGACTTTTATATTCATTTAAATGTCTTAAAAATAGTATGCGTATATAATTACAAAAATATTTGTTAAATTTTAATTTTGATTGCAATTACTACTTATAAACTATTAAAACATAATGAAAAAGAATGAATGAATATGAAAAACACATGATGAAGATTAAAAAAAAAAAAAAAATTACAGCATCTTATAAACAACTTACGTTACCAATTCCATAAATTCCTTTCTGGTATACTGACATCATCTCTGAAAGACTGCTGATGTATTCCCTTATAGAATGGTAAACATTTTCTTGAGATGTTAATTTGTTTTTACATAATTGCTGCTTCCATTTCTGGCCATTTTTTCTCTTTCTAAAAACAACTCTAGTGCAACACAAATTGTAATTTACAGTCTGTCAATTAATGTCAATAATAGGAAGTCATTTCTTGAACAGGAAGTTCATTCTCTACTAATTTTGTATAATAAATACAAGGGGTATCCCAGCCTTTAGGACAGTGATTCTCAACCTATTTTACCCCATGCACCCATTCATGATCGCTAGAAGATCATTGTTTTCCTTTTCCCAAACACAAAAATTACACATATACGTTTATTTAAAATCATATTACTTTCAATATGTTTTATAAACTAAACAATAAAAAGTATAGAAAATGTTGATGAGTACCAAAACATGAGTAAAAATAGTTTTATATTCGTAAATTAAAACTAAATACTGGACATCTAAATAAAACGTTAACCGCATTCCCTCCTGAAACTATTGATATCCCTGCAGCTGGCAATTTCCCTCTGTTTTAGAACCCTGCTTTAGGAGCTTCTATGCCACACGAATAAACCATAGACGTAAGAATAAACTTACTTCCTACCTCCATGAGCTAAACAATGATATGCGGAGAGTCGCATCATCCGATAAAAATATCCTGCAGACCACATACAGAATTTAAAAGACACAGGACAAGTATTGTTGTGCCTGATGATATTTCATATTTACCTTTTATTCTAAAAGATGTTATTTGGGCTAAAATTATCAGTAGAACATTTGTAACGTGATATCGGAGCCTGTATTGCTGGATACCTAGTGCATGTATATCCAGTCCTGTGTAGCAGTTTCGAACAGTATGTTTAAAATGGTCTTTTGAAATGCTTGTTCTTTCTTTATTTATATTGTATACATCAGTTCTTGACTTAAACGTTTGCATGAAAATATGCATGCGTTTAGTAAGAAATGTTATAAACAGGAGATTCTAGGTATTTCTTTCTCCTGATGAGGAGGGACCTTTAGCTGCCCTCGAAATCGATTGAGTGTTTCAATATACTTACGCTAAATACAAGGTTGTTTTTATGATTTTGATTGAAACAGGAGATGTTTAATAAGCGATTAAACATTTTCTTTAAATAAATACAACTTACAAAAATCTACTTAAATAAATTTTCTTTTCGTTTCAAAACTCATTGGAACTTTATATATTCCATTTACACGTACGTAGATTTGTTTGATATTTTTTTAGAATGGGTTCTTAAATGCAATTGGAGATTCTTGAAATATGTTCTCAAAATCTTTTAATAAAAAGTGTGATGAATGCTATGCATTTTTAGTCGTAATTTTGTCCCGACGTAGTTATAGTTACAGTTACTACCCTTAACGTAAGATTGCTGCAATTTGATTTAATTTCAAACACTGTCTTTGTTGAACAACAAACAGTTGCTGAAACAATATCTAGTAGTTGTTCTGGCATATATTCATCTGTAAAGGCATATATTCAATTCATTTTAGTCAGCCCCCCAAAAAATCCTTCATCTAATTTCTCATTATCAAATTAAAAAATACGCTCACTGACTTTTTTAGCCCAAAGGGCTATTAGTTTTGTTTTGGCATTTTGCGTTGGTTCATTGTAAAATCCAGAATCACTTTCAAACTATTGCCACCAAATATTATCGCCCTGTATTATATTTAAAGAAATTAAATAATGAAGAATCTGCATGAATGTATGTATATTTCTCGCACTGTGAAAAAATAACGGTACCTAGAGACATCAAATTTTAAATAACGTAGTCCTCCATTCAAATATGGGCATCTGGAAGCCCAGATTTGGAATTTGGAATTTGTTTTACTATCTACTATATATTTTGTAAAACTTCAACGAATTTTTCATTAACAAACTCAACAATTTCAAAGCGTTTCATTAACATTAATAACATTAACATCGCGTGCATCGTCAAGCGTGGATATTTTATGCGCGAGGTTTTTTTTTACATTTCGTACTGGTGTTATGTTGCTAGAGTAGATAATACGAAGTCTTTAAGACAAAGGTTTTACAAATGTCTAACAGTATTTTACGTCAAATGACTTTGAATATCTGTATCACTTTTCAAATCCCGTTGTGAACCTCCGTGAAAGAAACGTCCCTTTGGGCTTTTAATCGTTTAGTTATACGAAACAATTTCGGAATCAGGATTGGACATTTAATGATCAGTACTACACATTTAACGATTAAACGGGGATTCACTACATTATTAACTATTTTTGTTAGATAACTGTAGGATTTTAATCATAAAGTCATTAGACTAATTTTTAAACAAACTATTTACAACTTATTTTCATTAATGACAATAAATTATTAATATTCTATTATAAATTGCAGTATTATTTGCGTAAAACACCAAATATTAATTACAAATCTTTATTTTCATTTTATTTAATTTTGAAAAATAATTAAAAAATGTTCCGTTAATTGATGGCCTTTGAAATCTAAAATTTTAATTTCTGATTATCATAAGAAAGTGTCATTTGATAAGTTTTAAGCCCATCATAATGCTACAAAATAAACATCTAAAATTACTATTTCAGTTTTCTACGTAATTCCTCTTTTCAGTGCACCTAATACAGCAGTAGGGTAAACATCGGATTCTAGGAATTGTGTTACAATCTTCCAATCATTTCTGAACAGCATCGTTCAAATCATCATCGTCGCGGTAATGGGAATCACTAAATGCTCTTCCAGTTTACGAAACAAAACGAATTTGCTTGGAATCAAATATGCTGAATACAGTGGATGGAGGATGCTGAAATTCGCAGTTATTCGCATTACTGTAGCAGTTGAAATTCGCATTGCTATAGCAATATAGCAGTTTGGAAAATTTGATCTCTGTAAACTGGAACGCTATCTATCGTCAATGAGATTCATTGTGTTTCCTAAATTCGCTTTCTTGTTTCATTTCTGGGTCACAATAGTGATGCTATATTTCACCTCTTGTCATTAGTTGTGAATAAAAATTTTTATCGATGTTTGTTTGAGAGAACATTCCACTCGATGTTTTTTCATGGCTAGAGTAAATATCCCAGGTACCATTTGGCACAGACTTTCGACATCCAACTCTTCATGTAGATTTTTTCTATTGATATAGCTTTAATATATACGTCAGAAGCAATATGAGAAACTGTCACTCATCTATTTTTCATATCATATTTTTTCGTCTTTAACATACATTGCTCCAACAATTACATCAGACTGCAGCCTGGACTGCGATCTTCTTCTAGTGACATTCTTCTCTGTCTGACCATGATATATCACTTTTCGATGCTCGACACTTCAGATTGCAACCATGCATTCATGTATATTTATCGTTGTTATACCTTCTTTTATCAAGAAATCTGTCACAAAAAGATGTTTGATGTTTCCTGTGTAAAGTTGCGAGCCTCCAACCTGCACGCAACAAAGTGGTGACTGCTGAAACTGGAAATTAGAGTCTTGAGAAGAGTTTAAGTCCCTTTTTATTCAACTTTAGAAATTACAATTGCGTGCTCTTGACGCTCACAAACTACGCCGACCCGGCGGATAAAAATAAGAAACTAAAAAGATAATAACGAGTGACTAACTACGAGGCTCTCTAAACGTAACTAACCTTCACCGCGTTTTACAATACCGCTGATAATTAAGCAAACTCTGAATATCACGTTGAAAGGTTAACAATTTGCCGAGGCAAGCACACAGGCCGAAACGCGTGGTTCTTCAATTTCTAACTAACTCCGCGCTCGCGAAGTAAGAAAAGCACACTTCGAACTCGTTTCCTTTCTATTTAACTCAGAATACTTCCGCTGATAATTTGAATCCTTGCGCGTTCTACTAAAATTTACATACTCTGGCATTGGCAGTTCCAGGGGAAAGTAAGGCTTGACAGGAAAGATAGTTTAAACTTAAAATAAATGTTAGTTAAAATAAATATAAACCCTACACCTGTATTAACAGACGTAACTGACTGAGCATTTAACTGCCGCTCAAAAATTAAATAACAACAGCTGAAAAATGTTCAATATTGAGCTAATATTCAGGCGTTCAGAATAGCTAGTTTTACATTATCCGATAAAAGACCTTAATAAAGGGTTACTGACATAAAAATTCGTGAGATATCAATCATTTCATTCCATTTCGTCATCCACAATATTACTTCACAAGTTTAGAACTTATCGAACAACCCTCGTATTTTTCGCAAGTTATGAACCGTCGTATTTTTCGCAAGTTATGAACCCTCGTATTCGCAAGTTATGAATTTTAGTCTTGAATTATTAAATTTCGTCTTATATAAGGTCCATTAGATAATTTGGCAAC